CTTTCAAGTTAAACGTACTTATCAGTTTTAGCTGGTATACAAAAAATACCTTCAGATCAAGAAGAACGTCAAACATATTTGGAAGATTTTAAGAAACCACCAGAATTATACTGCGAGTGACTTCTTGATCGAAATTTAACCCTCCAACGGAGAAGGAAACTCTGGAAAGCCCAATCACGACTGGCAAAGTGATGCTAGGAATCTCTGATCAATCAGGAACTTCGAGGGGATCCCTGAATAATGAAAAATCCTTCACATCATTGTAAAGGAAAATAAGGCAGTGTCTAAACTTGTTTGAAGGAGAGCCTGTAACAAGGCTTCCAGAAAGATAACTATGACGCTAACCCCTTCCAATTTCAACGTACTTTTTCTGCCACCGTTTCATAGATCGGAACAGTAGTGTTATTATTAAAGAAATCCCTCAGATCAAGAAGAACCCCAAACTTAATTGCAAGTTTTGAAGAAACCATCTGATTGATATTGTGAGTGACTTCTTCGTGGAAATTTAAACCTCCAACGGAGGAGGAAACTCTGGGAAGCCTCAGCACGTCTGGAAAGTGATACTAGGAATGTCTGATTAATTGTGAACTTCGAGACAAATCCATGGCAACTTCTACCATTGCAAAGAAAGGTAAGGGAGTTTCTTAGTCGGTTCGAAGGAGAGGTCTCATAAAATATGGCAATAACGCAGTCACCCTCCAATTCAAAATATTTACATATCACTTTCATCTGCAAAAATTACGGAACCGCAAATAATTAGAAGTATTTAAGAATCATCGGGAAATGAATTAAAAAAACTTGCGAAGCTTTCTACCTAAACCATAAAATTTATTTCTCTCTGCTAACTGAATGTATCCGAACTCTTGAGTAAATATTTTAATTTAGAGCAATATGTAAAAGTTCACAACTTTCACTGTATTTTAAACTTAACTCCCAAACATAACCTTCAAATTCATAAATAACTTAGTATCAATTTCCCTCTACCACCTGATCAATCCCTCTCTCACTCCCTATAATTTCAGCAAACACTTCCTATCCTAGTTTACAGCTTCATCTAAAAGTTCCCAACTTCCACTGTATTTTAAACTTAGATCTAAACACTTTTCCCTGTCGTTTGCAAACGCCTACGACGACTATCTCGTCGACGATAACGATCAATAATGCGACTTCTATGTCGCTCCGGACATAATGCCTCTGGCGAGCTATCTACCTTCTTCAAAACTATACGAAAAGTAAAAGTATGCTTTGGTGAGGCACTGGTAGCACGTCGTGGCGAGGGTGGCTCAAATTCACTACCACTCGAGAAACCACCACCAATACTACTTCCCACGGCACTTAAAGCTCTCGGTGTACCATTGGCATACCCGGATGGGGTTGACATAGAACCTGTGGAAAATTGTTGTGTCAACACTGAACTTGGCCGTGGTTCAAATATCGAGGCACACCTTTGATCGGTACACAGGAAAGTTTTCACTTCCTCTTCTTTTTGTTTAATGGTGAGGGGGAAGTGCTTCTTTGTCGGATCAGCATAGGGACTACGTTGCGGTAAATCATGATGTCCCGCCGATGAGCTAGAATCATAACTATCACGTGAACTGTAATTGGAGGAGGTTTGATTGGAAAGGGGACTGCGTGCACGTGAAAAGGCACTAAAGGGTGAGATGTGTAAGGATTTGAAAGTTTCGGTTCTTTGTTTTTTGGTCATGGGGAAATTGGGAGAGCGAATGGAAGTGATGCCAAATATGCCACCACCACTGGCACCGCCGGATGTGCCGGCACAACCACTCGCCTCTGAAGGGGTGTAATCAAAATGGGTCTCTAGGGAAGATTTCCGACCCGGTGATGAGTTGGATCTTTGAAAAGTTTCAGCATCAACCAATTCTATAGAAGATTTCCTGAGATCGATGCTGGATTTCTTGCTCTTCTCATCGATATCGACAATTTCAAAGCTGGAGCTTTGATCTTCATAGCTGGTCGACTGATAGCGGGATATTTCAAAGCTTGTCTCACGCGATGAATAGGGACACTCAAAACTTGACTCAGCTCGACTTGATTTACGATCGCCCTCAACCATTTCAAAACTATCACCACCCGATTCTAAACGTTGCAGGCTGGCATCGGTGTCACCACCGGGGCTGCGCAAAGTTTCAAGGAAGGGAGAGCGGGGAGGATCAAAGGAGGAACGCCTAGAGGGTGGGACAAATTCTATTGTGGGACATTGCAGCGGCGATTTGTCAGTGGATGAACCCAAGGTGGCTGCCTCGAGAACTTTTTTGGCAGCCGCCTCAGCATCATCGGTTTCACGCTTGAGTTCGATAAGATTAACATAGATTGGTTCCGGTTTGTAGCCCTTTAAAATCTCCACTAGTTCAGAACGGAAATCTTCGGGAATTATCAAATCATTCGAATCGGATTCCCGTTCTTCACTAATACGCGGTTCAATGGGTTCACGACTTTCAGAACGTCTCTGAAAATGGTGGACACTGGCCGTGGTTTGTTCAGCACCCAGGGAGGAGATTTTCAGTGAGTTATTAATCTCCTCCACCAGATTTGCTAAAATTATATCGGTAGAGGGATCCGCGGCATCTTCTAGGTTTTCTTGTTCGTCTTCTTCTTCACCGTGTTCTTTTTCACCTTTGTGTTGTTGGTCTTCGTGTTTCTTTTCATGCTTGATATAGGATTCACCTACCTTTTCGAAATGGACATTGGCAAACTCGAAGGGTATATCACTCAGGGGGGTGGCCCGACCCGAGGCACTGCCTTCTTGAACATTCAATAGGCCGCTGCCGAAGGTGCCGGATGAATCATTGCTGGCTCGCTGGGTATCACTGGAAGAACGCTGCTGCTGCTGATGATGTTTGCTGGACTTCTCCTCGTCGCGGGCAGATCGACGCAGTTTCAGAGACATTTTGGCATAGTGTGAGAATTTCAGTGACATCTTTGGTTCGAATCCAACTTCGGACATTTGTTTCTGTACAGCACTCTTTGCAGCCGTTGACGAAGCTGCCGGACTGGCTGAAAAAGTGCTTTGGCGTATTAGCGGTCCCCTAGATGAACCCGACTCGGCTCTGGTAAAAGCATTAGCAAAGCGATTGGTGCGCGTCGAAATGTGTTTGGAGGGTTTGCGCACGAAGGCCAGGATTTCGCGCATAACACTTTTCTTTTCTGACGACTGCGGTTGTTGCGCCTGTCCCTGCTGATCCTTGTCACTGCTGCTGGTCTTTGCCTCAGCTTTCTCCTTCTCCTCCCGTTGCTGGCGAAGTTCCGCCTCCTTTTGACTTTCCGTCGACATGTTGTTGCTCTCGGCCATGCGATAGGTTTCGGCGGGATTGGATACTGTAATGGGAGGTATGGGTCCAATGGGGCTGCGTTTATCACCACTAAAGTAAATGGGGGTAAAGAGGTTGATGGAGGGCCTTTTGTAGCCAGTGGGGGTCCGAACCGCCATGGGTTCTTCTTGTTCAGTGGACGAATCAAATGTGGAACGATTGCTGCTGTCCTGCACATGCACGGTGGAGGTGGGACTGCGGCTACGTCCATATTGGCCAAAATCTGTAGGAGCAGCACTGCCCACAGGGGAGCGGCGCTCTTGGGTGTGGATACTGAAGGTGGGACTGCGGCTACGTTCGCCAGAGGGAGAACGCACTGTGGGTGAGGCCGTACCGAAGGTAGGATGTAGCGGCAATTCATTTGGAGATTTGAGGCGATCATTTGAAATCAGTAGAGGGCTACGCCTACCCTGTGGACTGCGATCATTAAAGCCCACCGGACTTTTGCGACCCTGTGACAGGGATAGTGACCCCGTCATGCTGCCTTTACGTCGGTGAGAAGCTCGCAAGGTACCCTGCCGTGACAATGTTGTTGGTGTCTTTTGGCTAACACTGCCGGGGCTCTTCGATTCTGGATGTGGTAGAATAGGACTTTTTGGTGTATGCGGACTCAGACCCTTATCATTGGCCGCCAACATAGCATTCAGCGTTAGCGGGCCTTGTACGTTGATGGGACTGCGACGATCGCTGGGACTGCGGCGGGTACGGAAACTCTGTGACTTGGCTTTGCGAATTTTCGGCAAGGATTGTTGGTGCTTATGACGTCCGGATGAGTGATGGTGGGAGGAGGAGGAGGGGCCGTTCAACTTATGTTAGTTGGTATTATGCGGGCCACTGGTGGGATCGCTGCTGCCGCTGGAGCTCAAAGTTGTATTCGAACCATAGGGATCAAGTGAACTCTGCACGGACATCGATCTGCCTTGGTTTTGTCGAGCGCGCCTCACTCGACTAGAGTTGGGAGACAGCTTTCCGGGGTCGATACTTTCTGGGTCTGCCTGTAAGTGTTAGAATCAGGCATAAAGGGGGGACACAAGGGACGACAACAGACACACGAAAAAACGACCATGATGATATTTAATTTTTTCGGAGTGGCGGTTCCGACCACGAGTAACCGTGTCGTGGTATAAATCATAGTCATTTTTTTGAGAAAAAAGGAATGGATGGATGAAGAAAGAAAAAATGGTTTGCAAGAATTAAATTTTGTTCGGAAGAAAAATCAAAAAAGGAAGCCAATGAATGGTAATTTTGATGCCAAGAAAACAGGAGAAATCGATTTAGTGATGCCAAGCTGAGTTGTGTAAGAAATTCCGAACTCACCTGATAGGCCAAAGCATTCATAATGATTGAATAGGGCACCAGACCCAGCGGATGGATTTCACGCATTAACACATTGGCTGGTATCTTGTGGAACTGGATGTATTCCAAAAAGTTACCCAAAATCTCCTTCATGTCAATGTTCTGCAGGGTGGGGGAAATATAGAATTAATAATCTCAAAAAAATCTTGAAAGAAAGATTCCTTACAGGATTATTGTCATTGTATTTCTTACTCCACATCAGGGCGGCCTGGAATTTGGTAAATTCATCGGCACGTAATTCCTCACGGGCCAAAATCAGTCGCACCACATGCTGCGGCAGCAGGGTAAAGCTACCCAAATTCAACACATCGTTACCATGTTCATCGACAAATTCCAAAACTTTTTGCACCAATGATTTTGTACATTTATATTGGATATAACGTTCCGCGGAGGAGAGCAGAGCACACACGGTGTCCACATTGATGCAGCATTGGACGAAGCCGGCACAGGCACGACGCAGCTCTTCGAGGCCATAATAATCGGCGGCATTCATCACACCTGAAAATGGGAAAACAAAACAATCAGATATTATAGCGGACCTTTAAGGGGTTTGAAACACTTACCCAGTAGAGTCCTCGGCTGCAGCGTGACACACCCCGTGTGTATGTACTCAATCAGTTGACGGAAAACATCCGGTTCAAATTCTTCAATAATCAGGGTTTGATGTTGCTGGCCAGCGGGCTAAAATGTGGAATCAAAAATAACATATAATGAGAATTATGGTTTGATTGGAAACTGTGGTTAAAAATAGACACATAGCTCTGTAGCAGGCAAAATCTTTGAAGCAGATATGTATATAGCTAAGGTGTAGAAGCATTGGGCTAACAGAAACCAAATAGAAGTTCGCTTGCTGGTGTGATACTTTAAAAGTGTTGAGGAGGGGCCACAGATAAAGTTCGACGGTGAATGTGACTAAGGAATTAAGTGAAACAGATCATGACATAGATTCTAATAAAGTCTCATGCCGAAAATCATATTACATAAGAGCATAAGAACTCAAAATCCGCATAGAACCACTTATCTAATAGGAAAAAATACAAGTTAAATTACAGATATAATTTTGGTCCTTTTTTATGTTTGGCAGATCATAACATAAAAACAGTAAAGGTTTATATCTTAGAACCTATCACTCACAATCTTTATGTTAAAAAGACCAAAACCTAAGATATCCGAGGGAATTGGAGGAAGATAAATCCTGTAGTTAATGGGATAGTCTGATCTCTCAAATTTAGGACTTTGTCTCCGTGGACCAAAACTGACTACTATATGTGTTCACCTCTCCATCAGCAGACCACCTGATTGTAACACTACTGAACGCCGCATATTCCTTAACTATAGAAAAGCCAACTGACAGGGTTTCAGAGAGTTCATTAACCTTCCATTCCTTCTGATGTATGGGTTACAGAAAGGAAATTCCGGGACATCATTGCAGCTACAATAACTAGATGCTTGTTGAATACCCAAGGTCAGACGAAATTTTTCAGCAGAGGCATGAATTCGTCGAATTTTACATGATTCTGGCGTTGAAGGCTTTAACCATGGTGTGTTGACCAACACTCCATTGGAATAGTCCTGAGTACTCAATGATCACCCTAGCGCCAGTCTGCCGGTATCAATTTGAATATCCACCATAACGACTTCACTTCCACCTTGGTGAGGGATCGAGGACTACCTAAACCTCTGCGTTTCTATGGGTCTGGCAGCCGGTTTATAATGCTATTCCACAGCGTGCCGAATCTCTTTCCGCGAAATCTTTGGGCTAACCAACAACAGTTTGTCGAACATCCTGAGAGCGACTGGGTAAAATGAAAAGTAATAGTTTTCTTTCCAATTTGTCGATAGCCACACTCACATCATTCCCGAAACATGGACAATGGACCGAAGGATGCCAGAAAATGTAAATCAATCTGACATTTTTCACCAACAGCGAGGACTCGCCAGCATTAGGGAAATCTATCCAGTTGCGGATCATCAGCATGGGTTCCGTAAGAATAAATGCATTATTTCTGCTTGCCAAATTCCCGAGATGAGTCCTAATATCCCAGAAAAGACAGTCGGATTTGAAAATGAGGGTGATGAGCTCTGTGAATCTAACCCAGCAGATCCGAGGGTCAGCAGATGTGTCAGAGCATAAGCGTAATAAATGGTTAGAGCATCTGAAGTGTTGCAACATTGAAACCGATTAGAGTAAACTGTGGACAATGGTTAGGTCGCTCTCGAACCCTGGTAAGAAAGATGATAGGACCTCAGTCATGTTCTCTTCTAAGATCTCATCTCGCCAGGGAGGTACCACCACAATGCATAATCACCCATTATAATGCATAATCACCATAGCGCTAAGACATCCAAAGCATTGGGCCCTGACGTGATATTAACCTGGACAATGGGCAGGGTGATCCCGTTACTGAACACAGGCAAGGATGCCAGGATGTCACCAATAACGAAGACTGATGAATTACTCTTCGTCAGCATTAGAGAAAGCTATCCGGTTGGGGATCATCAGCATGGGTTCCGTAAGCAAAACACCACTATTTCTGCTTGTCGAATACCCCAGATGAATCCTAATTACCCAGCAAAGACAGTTGGACTTGAAAATGAGCGTGGTGAGCTATGTCGACCTAACCCAGCAGATTGCGGAGCATAAGCCTGGAAGAGGTGTGAGTAAACTGGGGGACAACGGTTAGGCCGCTCTCGAAAACTGGCCACTTTTTACGACGACTGATCCGAAGTGACGCGCAAGTTACTTTTACCAAACCTTTTTCTAAAACGTTGAGTCCTGATCGACGGTAATGCTGAAACAGTTAGATGAGCCAGGAGTTGAATATTTGACCAAAGTCCTCAATTGTTCGATAGCAACCCTCTGCGTTCCCGAAGCCTGGACAATGTGCCGTGTGGTCTCGCTACTACAGCCAGCCATACTAGGATGTTAACAAAGGTGAATAATACAGACCAATCTGACTTTTTTCGCCATTACCAAAGACATTTTTTGAGGCATTATTCCTCCTCAGGATTAGGTAAAGATATTTATTTGCGTATCATCAGCTAGGATACCGTATGCAACATCAGCATTGCACGCCATCTCCACACATATACGTGGAGGACTAAACTAGAACCGGCTTGACCAATCAAATGCCTCTGGTACCGTCTACCATGTCATACTGTTTGAGGACATCGAGAATACTTCATTGTGGTGAAGTTTAAATGGTTGGATAATCAATTGTATGTGTGGATGTAAGTGCAGTTTCGCAATAAAAAGTCCAAACCCTGTACAGTGAAGCATGGATTTCCCAGGGTGGGGTGATATCTCCGGACCTTTTTGGTATTCCACGCTCCGAGACGGCATTGAGATCTTAACGTATGCAGATAATTGTACGATCATGACGTCTGGTCGTAGCGTTGAGGATATATGTGCAAGGTTCGACGTCTATCTCGCCGTTTTAAAAGTCATCTTCCACACAAGAAATATAATAAAAATGCGCACCACGAGATTTTCGCCCACTTTGTTCACCACATGGACGGCAGAGATGAAAATGATATTGAAGGTGCAGGTTCAGGAACATACAAATCCAACTACGAACTACGCCAAAGTTCTTGGGGTCACATTCAATGGCATGTTCAAATCTCGTGTGTTCGAACTCTTGCAATCTGCGATGAGGTGAATAGTTGGACCATGGCCCTCAATGCTTCTATAGATTAATACTTGTGGATCTTCTGCCGTTGTTGACTACAAATATACAGGACATCTTAAGATAGGTACCATTTGAAAGGTGCGCTATAGATTTTCAAGGCTATCTAAAACTGGAGAAACTCTTAGTTTCTCTCAAAAATACTTTAGGGTGCTATTAAACTAATTTTGAAAGGATAAGGCGGAAATTAATTAAAAAATAAAGTGATATAAAATCCAGAGTTAGGCCATCTCGTTCCTGTAGCATAACGTTTGCTCCGTAAAAGGAACTACCTCATTCATTTAGTTCCATAGTTCCTTTCAGTACAATGGTTCATTTCTACATGTCAGTTAGTTCCGATAATGTCAGAAAGATATCGGTGAACGATTGAATCAAAATGAACTAGATGAAATAGAGCAAAAATTGAAGAATGGATATAAAGAAATAAGATACACGAATGAACCGTGCCTTGTACCGATGCTTCCTTTTGCAGAATGATCATTTTGAAGTAAAGCGTTCCCAAACAAATCAATTATAATCAAGCCAAAAAAGACGTAGATTTCAGATGTATTTAAGATCTATTAATAAGGTCACCCAGCAAACGAATGTCAGCTGCTTTTTCTCAAGTCTTATGTCAAAAATGTGGACGTTTTATACGCTTTCATAATGGAAGTCAATTCACAATAATGGATTTTGACAGCAATATTGACAAGCAGCTTGTCTCCCTGGGTGATGAAAGACAGCAAAAAGGAGCGAGTGCTGAAAAAAAGAACTGGTTCAAAGAAATGTACCTAGTTCCGATGGTTCCTTTTGTGGAATAGCTTCTTTGAACAAGTTCGTTTCGGAATGAAGGAATTATATTATCGAATTATTAAATCGAATGAAATCAAAGAAGAAGGCGTAGAATATAGATATATTGAAATATTTTAAGTGTATGGGAAACAGCTGTTTTGATTATAAAAATTTTATTATAAGTGTTTAAAGCATATATTTAGGCGGCAAATTTTGTGGAAGTGAATTTTCAAAGTGTGTCAGAATTGTAAATATTTAAAATGTGCTTTGAAAAATAGTTTTAAAAGCAAAGTTTTTTAAGAAATGTGTATCCAGTGCTAGATATTAGAAAAAATATATCATGCAGTTTCGATATTATTAGGTTAAGTTATAGAGTAAAAGGTATTGAGTGAAAAGATATGACATGGCACAATAATTTGTAAAGATAGTTTGATTTTTATCAGGGTTGAGATGAGAGCTATTAATACTTAAATGTAATATTAAATTATAAAATATAGAAGTCTTAAAAAGTCTTCATTTGTATTAAAATAAATTGCAAAATAAAAGCAACTGATTGGTCATAGAGCTGTTAGATCCAAACAGCTGTTAGATCGATCAACTGATTGCAGCCACAGTTGTTAAATCGATCTGTTTATTCGATCAGCTGATTGCTGAAACATCTGTAAGATCGATCAGCTGATTGATGTAACAGCTGTTAGATCGATCAGCTGATTGCTGTAACAGCTGTTAGATCGATCAGCTGATTGTTACAACAGCTGTTTTCACTATCTTTACAAGAAATTGTGCCATATTTAAAAGACTATTATCCATGTGAATATATGATAGACACCGATTATATAGATATGAGGTAGAGTTCTACAATAGGTATATTTATTTTTGATAGTAATTTTCTAATTAAAATATATTTTTAAAGCCAATTCAAGCAAATTGTATTTGCAAATATTTTTTGGAGAAGAAATTTGGAAAGACACATTTTATTTTGTTGTTGTTATCTAAAACCAGGCAATATATATTTTCAAGTTATGCATTTCGAGAAACAAACGAGAAAAAGAATAACTTGAAAATTCACTTTACCTCAGGTATTGGAGATAATTGTTGGGTGAAACCACTTCTCTGTATAAATTATAATGAAAGAACCAATTTTGATGAATGGGGAAATTTGTTTTGGTTTATGAAATATGATTTTGAACCAAAAAAAATATTAAAAAAATTATTTATAAAAGATGTTATAAAAAAGCTCCATAACATTTAAAAAATTTAAATAAATAAAATAAAGTTTAATAAAAAGTTTTCGATAATTACCTGCTGGGCAGCATTTTGCAGATTTAGTAGCGGCTCCGAGGAACGTTTCAAAAACAGTCGCAACTTATTTTCTTTCGTGGAAGTTTCTCGCTTCCGTTGTGGTGAGGGGGCAGAGTAGAGCATTTTTGCAAATACTCTGGAGCGGGATGCCAGGACGGCCTGTGGAGTACCCAAAATTTATAAGAAAACTTAAATAAAATTCTAAAAGTGAATACTACTTACCTTCACAGCACATACGGGCTCCCTGGTATCACCCACCAAAAATGTTACATCACATAGCTCTGGCATGGAGGCTAAAAATTTCATATCCTCCGCCAGGCCAGTTTTATTTTCAAATGTTGACAAATCTGGCTCTTGATCAGCCATACCGGGCAATGTTAATGCTTCAGGCATTGGGGTTTCTGTTTTTTTGTTTGAAGAGAATCGATTAATATGGAACTTAGATTAACTATTTATTAAAAAAAAATATTAAAATTTGTATTAAAAAAGTTTAAAAAAGTTGTGAATGTTAGTAAAATTCCATAACAAATAGTTTCGTTAATAAAAAATGTGTACGAATTATTTACAAAAAAGTGGGGGCATTACAAATATAACCAATTAAGGGGTTGTGATTTAGATACAAAAAAAAAAGGTTTTATATTGGGAGGTAAATTGTTTGCGACTATAAGGTTCCTAGTAAATCGATTTGTCATTGTCCAAAAGTTTCTAGAAAAAATCACTTAAGCCCGATTATTAAAATTAATAAAAGGGAAACAATTAAGAAATATTCGGCGAGGTTATTAAGTAGTAAAATATTGAAACAATCATTTAGTAATACGTAAACTTCATTAAAATTAACAATTCAGTTGTTTGCTTGGAAATCAGCTGTTACGTCGATCAGCTGATTGCTAAAAACAGCTGTTTGCGAAATAAATTAATAATCAGCTACTATACATATGTACGAGGTCAGCGGGGACCAAGTTCGATTTTTTTGGCCAAAAAACAAAAACTGTTTTAAAATCTATACAAACAAGGGAATGCCTCACATAATTCTCAATCGCCAGTTTTAGATTAGCAACACGTAAGTAATTTCGTTCTGTCGTTTTATAACTCCTACAAAATTATTTGAAAGAGAATATGTCCCCCGAGGTCTTGAAAAATACGTCTGTAAAGATCAATTTCAAATTTTGTTTAGAAATAGAATTAATTTTTAATAAATCAATTGGAATGCTATGTTAAAATATGGACCAATGCTGAAAAAGATCTGCCAAGAGGTATTTTATGTTTTAAGACAACGAAGTGCCGTGAGAGAGATTATAATCTTTAGAATATCTAATTTGGTGCGGAACTTTATATGTCAAAACAGGGCCTATAATGAAAACGCTACCTGTCAAAACATCGTATTTATTATGTTTTCTATGACGAGTTAGAATTAGCTGCAAGAACTCTCGATACTTTAAGGGAAAGGATGATGTTGCAACAAATGTGGAACATATGATATGGATTTTTATCCGTTTTTTTCCGAAGACGTGGACAGATCACACCCATAACCCCAAACACGTTATCCACACATGTTTCCCCTAGTTTCATAAATTTAAAATGTGTTGAATCAAAACGGACTATAATTTCATATATTAGGAAAAAGAATTCAGGTCGTCGAAAATGTCAATAAAATCGGAGAAATCATCGAAGTAGTCGTAAAATCGCCCACGAGCTAAAAATCAACCATAAAACTCTTTTAAACCATTTACACAACACTGGATTCAAAAAGAAGCTCGATGTTTGGGTGCCACACCAATTAACAGAAAAAAATAGGATGGATAGAATTTCCATCTGCGAAGCCTTGGCCAAACGGAATGAGATAGACCCATTTCTTAAACGGGTGGTGACCGGAGATGAGAAATGGATCACATACGATAACCCTGTGCGACAACGATCATGGTCTAAGAGCGGTGAAGCATCTCAAATGGTGGCCAACCAGGACTAACGGCCAGGAAGGTTCTGCTATGCATTTGGTCGAACTGGAAGGGGATTTTTTATTATGAGTTGCTTACATATGGCCAACTGTCAAAAACTGGACCGTTTCATGATATCAATTGGCCACCAACTGGTAGATTTGGCCAACGGGAGAGGTGTCGTGTTCCACCAGGACAACGCTAGGCCACACACATCTACAGTGACTCGCCAGAAACTTGGTTGGGAAATTTTAATGCATCCGTCATACAGTCCGGACTTGGCACCAAGCGATTATCATATTTTTCCGGCATTGCAAAATTTCTTTAATCATAAAAAATTGGTATCTAGAGAGGATTGTGAAAATCGACTACTAGATATTTTTGCAAATAGAGAGCAGGACTTCTATTATAGAATCATAACTCTAACAAATCATACTACAAAACGGTTCAAATCGGACATTCCGAAGCAAGTTAAATAAAGTCCTATAGATCATATAAAAATAATGGATTTCTTTTTCCCCAATGTAATATTAAAACACATTCTGAAAGGCAAATCAAGGCTTTTTGGAGATCAAAAAGCCTTCATTTTGGCCTTATAAAGCAATTATTCTCGAATATGTTTATAGAGATGTTTCAAAAGGGTGATTTTTTTGAGGTTAGGATTTTCATGCATTAGTATTTGACAGATCACGTGGGATTTCAGACATGGTGTCAAAGAGAAAGATGCTCAGTATGCTTTGACATTTCATCATGAATACACTTACTAACGAGCAACGCTTGCAAATCATTGAATTTTATTACCAAAATCAGTGTTCGGTTCGAAATGTGTTTCGCGCTTTACGTCCGATTTATGGTCTACATAATCGACCAAGTGACCAAACAAATAATGCGATTGTGATCAAGTTTCGCACTCAGTTTACTTTATTATAAAGCAATTAAACCAACCACACGAATGCGTACAGAAGAGAATATTGCGTCTGTTTCTGAGAGTGTTGCTGAAGACCGTGAAATGTCGATTCGTCGCCGTTCGCAGCAATTGGGTTTGTGTTATTCGACCACATGGAAGATTTTACGCAAAGATCTTGGTGTAAAACCGTATAAAATACAGCTCGTGCAAGAACTGAAGCCGAACGATCTGCCACAACGTCGAATTTTCAGTGAATGGGCCATAGAAAAGTTGGCAGAAAATCCGCTTTTTTATCGACAAATTTTGTTCAGCGATGAGGCTCATTTCTGGTTGAATGGCTACGTAAATAAGCAAAATTGCCGCATTTGGAGTTAAGAGCAACCAGAAGCCGTTCAAGAACTGCCCATGCATCCCGAAAAATGCACTGTTTGGTGTGGTTTGTACGCTGGTGGAATCATTGGACCGTATTTTTTCAAAGATGCTGTTGGACGCAACGTTACGGTGAATGGCGATCGCTATCGTTCGATGCTAACAAACTTTCTGTTGCCAAAAATGGAAGAACTGAACTTGGTTGACATGTGGTTTCATGCCACACAGCTCGCGATTCTATGGCCATTTTGAGGGAAAACTTCGGAGAACAATTCATCTCAAGAAATGGACCGGTAAGTTGGCCACCAAGATCATGCGATTTGACGTCTTTAGACTATTTTTTGTGGGGCTACGTCAAGTCTAAAGTCTACAGAAATAAGCCAGCAACTATTCCAGCTTTGGAAGGCAACATTTCCGAAGAAATTCGGGCTATTCCAGCCGAAATGCTCGAAAAAGTTGCCCAAAATTGGACTTTCCGAATGGACCACCTAAGACGCAGCCGCGGTCAACATTTAAATGAAATTATCTTCAAAAAGTAAATGTCATGGACCAATCTAACGTTTTAAATAAAGAACCGATGAGATTTTGCAAATTTTATGCGTTTTTTTTTTTTTAAAGTTATCAAGCTCTTAACAAATCACTCTTTAGATCACATATTGTATATATACCAAATAACCAATCAATAAACTGACTATTTCACGTTATATTGATAAAAATAAGTTTAGTATACAAAAATTTCGGATCAGATTTGGGCCGAAAAACAAATAAAATTTTTAATTTGGTCCCATGGTAGGCCATTTCGTTCCATTTTCACACTAATAATTTTGGAGAATTCCGCTTGAATTTTCAGTGTAGATCCGAAAATCTTTTTTAGGACACTTGGAAGTGGAGTGGATCAAGATTTTTTACCAAAATCAACGTGCTGTAACAGTAACAAATTTATTACCCCTCTAATAAGCTTTTGTTTGTCCCTAATAAATAAGATTTCAAATTCATTGGGCAGATTTCTCGACTTCGTATTTGTAAGTTATCCCAAGAACCTTTCAATTTATCAATGTGATCTAATTGTTTACCCTGTAGTTGAGTTCCATCCAAACCTAGATGCGCAGATTTCACATTAAATCAGAATAAGAAAGTAAGGACCTTAAATAGACCCTATGGGGTCTATATCTCAAAATATAGGCTTTTATTAAAATATTTTCTTCAAGGAAATCTGCTGTACACTGAGAACCCAAAATGCAAAATTTGGTTGAAAAATCGGTTATAACCTTTAAAATGAATGTATGCCATCGAAGTATATTATTTCAATAAGAGGCGATCCTGGAGACACTTTTGGTGTAATGTCTCAAACTTCTACTATTTCGATATCTTCAAGAGGTTTTCTATATATAGAATATTTAGCATTTTCTTTCTTTCGGCTTCTGTGAAAAAAATATATTTAGGTCGCTGTGAATAGAAACCCCACAAGAGGTATTCTATAGATGAATACATTTTGAGGTCTTAAATGCCTATATTTGAAGCCTACGAATAGAAGGCCTAAACCCCTTAAATATAAACCACAATAATATCACTGGTATTTTGAGCAGTTTTTTTAAGAAATTCACAATTTGGGTATGCAAGACCTTGGTGAGTATATGAAAACCCTACAAAGAAAATTCCGTCAATGTTCCGAAATACGTGATTATTTTTTTTTGCTGGCGAGCCTTTTATACTTGAAGAGATAGCTTCATATTTTCATTTGTAGGTATTGTATGTATTTTTATACCCTACACAACTATGTTGTCAGGGTATTATAGCTTTGTGCAGCCCCAAAAGTTTGTAACGCCGCGAAATATTGGTCCTAGACCCACCTTTAAGTATACCGATCGTCATATCTCGACTAGCTGAGTCGATCTAGACATGTGTGTCCGTCCGTCCGTCTGTCCATTATAATTTGTAAACACGATACAGGCCACAGTTATGGACCAATCTTCACGAAATTTTGCATGTAGGATGGGTTCTGGCCAACGAAGACCCCTATTGTTTTTGGGAAAGATCGGTTAATATTTAGGGGATGAAATGGACCAAATACTAAATTTTTGTCGGTTTTTCTGGTCGCTCCAGAGGCCGCAACAATGGTCCGAACATCGTGAAATTTTGCATGGGGAAGCGGATCGGGCCAAAGAATAAGCATGCCTGTTTGGAGAAAGATCGGT